TCACTAGGATGCACAACTGCACCTTGATGATGCTGTCAGAGCTCAGGAAGACCTCAAAGAACAGGCTGCCATGGTAGATCGCAGGAACGGTCTCATGGTTGCTGAAATTGAGGAACTTAGAGCTGCTCTGGAACAGACTGAGAGAAGCCGCAAAGTTGCTGAACAGGAGCTGGTGGACGCAAGTGAGCGTGTTGGTCTCCTGCACTCTCAGGTGAATTTTCTTTGATTTTCTCCACTATGTAACTGATCTTGATCAGTATTAAGGGAAAATAATGACTTAAATCATTTTTTTTATACTTTCAGAACACAAGTCTTCTGAACACCAAGAAGAAGCTTGAGACTGATCTGGTCCAGGTCCAGAGTGAAGTTGATGACACAGTTCAGGAAGCAAGGAATGCAGAGGAGAAGGCCAAGAAGGCCATCACTGATGTAGGTTTAAAAAAAAATGCTTTTTTACTCTTGCTTAATGTGTCTTAATAAAGTAATTCTTATCAACATTTGATGCTGTCTCCTACAGGCTGCTATGATGGCTGAGGAGCTGAAGAAGGAGCAGGATACCAGTGCTCATCTGGAGAGGATGAAAAAGAACCTTGAGGTTGCTGTCAAGGATCTGCAGCACCGCCTGGATGAGGCTGAGAATCTGGCCATGAAGGGTGGCAAGAAGCAGCTCCAGAAACTTGAGTCTAGGGTGAGAAAATCCTGTTAATAATTCTTACAACAGGGTCAAGATTTTGAAAAATCTATATTTAAATTTAATGTTTGCTTTTTTCTGAAGGTTCGTGAGCTGGAGTCAGAGGTTGAGGCTGAGCAGAGACGTGGAGCTGATGCTGTTAAGGGTGTGCGCAAATATGAGAGGAGAGTAAAAGAGCTGACCTACCAGGTACAGTCAATTAGACATTTGGCATCAAATCATTATACCTATCTATTGTGTAAAATATTTACAAAATTTAAATATATCCAATCTTTTTTCATAGACTGAAGAGGACAAGAAAAATGTTACCAGGCTGCAGGATCTGGTTGACAAGTTGCAGCTCAAGGTGAAGGCCTACAAGAGGCAGGCTGAGGAATCGGTAAGAGAGTTATTCATATTCATAAATAATATAGAGATAAAATGACAGAAGTCTTTCAAACTAATTCAGCTTTTTGTACAGATTATATTATTTATGTATAAGTACAAGAAAAGTACATGAATGCAACATCTATCACAGTAAGCCTAAATATTGTACACACAAGTTATATACAATAAGAAGGTCACTATCATGCACCAAAAGTCTATCATATTATAATCAGTAATCCTCTGAGTAAAATATTAAATAATTGTCACTAAAAGATTAACTTACTTTTGTTAAACAAATAATTATATATATAAAAAAAGACCTTTAATATAAAATTGTAAAATTTTCAATACCTTTAAACCTTGTAAATGGTTTTCCAGGAGGAGCAGGCCAATGTTCATCTGTCCAAGTGCAGGAAGGTCCAGCATGAGCTGGAGGAGGCTGAGGAGCGTGCTGACATTGCAGAGACCCAGGTTAACAAGCTGAGAGCTAAGAGCCGTGACTCTGGCAAGGTAAATCAAACTTGTATTGAAAATATGGAGATACTGTTGCCTTAAGTTTAATGAAATGAACATGCCTCAACACTTGTTTTTGTCTTCAGGGAAAAGAGGCCGAGTAAAGTTCCCTGGCTGATCATCTACTGTACATCTCATCATATAATATGATGTGAAACATGAAAATAAAATACACAAGCACTGGAAAACTGCTTTCTGTCTGAACCTTTTCTTCTTATTGCTTCCCCTGATAAAAAAGTGTAAAGACTGGTAATATGTGCTATCCAGAAATCAAATACAAATGAGAACTCATCATCTAGACAGCCTTATCAACAAATCAGAGTGATTGGATTTGATATTACCTTATTGTCAGACATGGTCTGAATAGTTTTTTGCATCACAGCGGCTCCATTTGCAACAAAAAAAATAAAGACAAGATACAAAGATACAAACATTTGACACAACATTCAAACTAGTGCTGGGCAATATGACCTCAAATCAATACCACGATTAATTGAACATATTACCTCGATTACAATTAATGAATGATTATTTTGTTTTTGTTTTTTGCCCTCATAGTTCACTGACATGGTCTCTACTGTAAATATGCTCTACTTTTAAAGCTGGGATATTTTTTTCTAATGAAAGAGTTCATATCTGATGAACTATTTGGTGGTTATTTATTGAATATTTTGAAATGAAATCAAATTATCGCTTGAAATGAAAACGACAGATTTTAGTTTTGAGATAGAAATAAACTTCTCTAAAACAGTAGAAAATAAATAACTTGCATTTCTCGCAAACTGTTTTTTTGCAGTGTCTATTTGACCTTTTTTTGTTCGGTGTCGTCGAAAATTTCGTCGGTTAGAGGTTATAAATGTCAGTTTCCATTTATTTTCAATTAATTTCCAGGCCTTAATTCAAACACCAAACAGATATTCAACAGGCTTTGATCCGGGATTCAGCTCTACATTAAATTTTAGTATTGACTTATGTACAAAATAATGTTTCAGTCTGAGTCTATTAAAATGAGGGACCCTGCATCTCCAGTTTGATGGTAATAGTTCATATTCTGTGTTCAGAGCATGGTTATAGTCAGATGCAATGCTTTTAGCCAGAGTGAAAAACTTTACTTTGTAAATTCCCTCATTTATTTCTCAATTTCTGGCACTCTAACAAACGTAAAGTCCTGCATATTAATCCTTTACTTTGAAGGCATTTTATGAAGATGTTCTCTATCTAATGAGCCTCAGTCTATCATTGAATTAGATTACATATGGCCTTATTTAGAGCAAGTATCTGACGCTGGTTTCCAATTTCTTTATGAAACATGTAAGCCTACACTGAGGGACCTTAATTTATCAAGATTTCCCCCCACATTTGCACATCTTGACAAATGTATCACTATGCACATAGTTACACTAATAGTCTACACATTAAAAAAAATTCTTTCTTTAACCTAATATTGAACTTGTCTAAATATTTTACCTCGATCTTAACCCTATTGAATTTACATTTGAATGAAGTGCATATTTTTGACACTATATGCTATCACTTATAATATGTTATCTGGCTAAGCTAAGCATAAATGCTTAATTAACAGTTTCTCCCACCTTTAGCTTCTCACTAAATTCAGCTAGCTAACCAAAACAAATCCTATGTTGATGTTTAGAAGTCTTAAAATGGCCAAAATTTAAAAAAATAATAGCATCCATTAAACTGGAAAAGTGACACATTGACTAAGTTTTCTTAACCTTTTTGTCAAGTCAGAGATACTTTTCTTACCTCAAACATTTTCTCTGATAGTTTATGTGCCGCTCAGACGCCATCGACTGCAGCGAATGCGCAAATTATAACTGTTGATGGGGTAGACCTGTAATATGCTGCAAATAAATATATTGTATGCTATGTGTGTAGACGTGATTGTGCATGTAATGTCAGTAAGCCAGGTAGCCTATTAGGCTACACGTATTTCCAATGTAGCTTTGTCTTGTTAGTGTTAGATTAAGAGACATTTCATTTGTTCAGTGACAGGAGGTCATTATAACTGATTTACTGATCAAGCAATGTAGAAAAAGACGCAGTGATAAGTTGTCACAACAGCTGGTACAAACACAGGACGGACTTTAGCTGTGCTAAAAGCTTTACACATGAAAAAAACACTGAAGCTGCAGAGCGTGTTCCCACTTCACTTTGTTGTCAGGAGACCTACAACAGACCACCTGTTACCGTAGAAGTGACTGGGCTATACATAACGGTATGCAAGACTGGCTACCTTAGTAAGCTAATGTTTACTCTTATTGGCAGTATTTCTTGTTTTTCATTATTTATTATTTACTCTCAAATTAATTGTGTCCAGTTGCCATTAAAATGCATTCCTCCGTAACACTGTGCATGGTAGTAGCCTATGTGAAAATACTTACATGGCATGCAATATAGTGAGTCAAGCAACAGGTGTCGGTCTTAAAACTTGAGCATGTGTTTATGTGCCTGTAAGTTAAGTTAAATGCTAACGTGTGGTCTTATTTTTGGCAGATGACATTGCCTTAGCTATGGCTGCAGTTCACACTGCATGCCAACCCATATGTTCAATACAGATTTTATTTTTCTGGGGATTCAGATTACGTTGACTGCATCAGACTTCTGTGGGAATATGAACATGGCTCAAATCCGATTTTAATAGAACAGATTCCATGTGACGTGCTGTTCTTAAAACAATTCGGACATACATAGGTGCAGAAAATTTTAATTTAGCTAACTTTTTCCTGCAGTGTGAACTCGGCCTAAGTTGCAAGAGATCCCCAGACTGTTCCTCTGTCACTGTCACCAATGCACATATGCTGAAACTCAGTATGAGCTCCAGGCACTGATTGACCCATGCTATAGGAGAAAGGAGATCTTCTGTTTCAGGGAGAGGTTCACCTAGATCACTTTACCGCAGGGTTCAGTCAGAAAGGAGGACAGTGGTTTGATAAGGATGTTACTGGAGAGCGGAGGATTGTAAATGTCAGCATACATATGAAAAGAGAACAGGAGGCACAGGGTGTTCAAAATAATCTCTCTGACTGAACCCATCCACCTGGCACACAAGATGAATAAAACCCCTCAGAATCTGTGCAGCAGTTGTCAACATGTAGGGTGAGATCATAAGGATGCTTATTGTGGTTTAAAAGTTGAAGTGATCCTAATTTCTAAAGAACCGGTACACTTTGACTTCTCTTTCCTCTGCTGAGTAGACCTTCTCTGATAGCCCGCAGCGTCAGTTTGCACTGTATGATTACTCACGTGTGTATCAAATAAAATGTCTATTTAATAATCAGATTTTTCATTTAGTTGTTCGCTCAATATCTCATTAAGTGGGTGTCATCATAAACTTTACATGTTGTGAAAAAACATTCTAAGGCTAATTTTCTTTGCAAATGAAGGAAAAGAAGAATCAGTAACACTTAACTCAACTTATCAAGTTTGTTTACATGATTAACAATGACAATCATTCACTTTTAAAATGGTTAAAAAAAGAGTGACATGAAAAGTTAAGAACATTTGACCCTCTTTTTAAGACATGGCAATTATTATGGTACTAGTCTGCAATGCGCTTCTCATAAAGAGGCTGTGGTCCCCGAAGCAGGCAACCCAGGTTCAAAACCGACCTTTTGCTCCCTTCCCCCATCATTCCCCACTCTCTCTCACTGATTTTTGACTCTCTCCACTCCCATCTCTACAACTAAGGCATAAAAAGCCCAAAATTAAAAACTGAAAAAAACAATATAGCAATTATTCATGTTAAGGTATGACATCACTGAGTACAACAGCACTTTGAAAGAAAAGATGATCAGATTCTATTCACTACTTTTTACCCTAAAGATATCCTTACACAAGCTGCAATTTGAGATAAAACTAAAACACAGCAGTTTCCCTAAAACATGTGTTGATTTTTTTCTAACATTCTTCATTTATACAATTTGTACATGGTCTGGTCTTAGACATGGATTGTTCCTCAGGTGATAAATCAGCATCTGTCCGTCTGTTCCTGAAGACACTGTTGTGTTGTGTGCTGACATAAGGGTCTCGTGCAGAGGTGATTTTAGAGTCTGTTGGGGCCCGAGGCAAATATTTACAGGGGGCCCCTCCAAACAGCGTACTTCCCCATTATGTTAAATGATCTGACACCAACAAAGGTTTTTAGCATAAGTTACATTATTCAAGTGTCTCTCCCCCATATTGAGGGCTAGAAAAGTCTAATTCAAGTCATTTACTATTATATGATTGAGTGATGTCAAGTGGGGCCCCCTTAGGGAGGTTTCCAACTGTCATTGCAAACTTTGCTAATTTTGAGCCACTGCTGTGGTTTAAGTTTATCAGCCATTGTGGGCCACCTAACTGGTCTGGGGCTTTAAGCAGTTGCCTGCCTTGCCTGTTGACAAACAGTGCCTTTGCTCATGTGTTGACCAGTTGAGATAAGTCAGCTATTTTCAAGTCTTATGTTTATGTCCGGTTTTCTAGTTTGACTTAGTACATGTTATTGGGCCAATTTTAGTATTCCATTCTCTGGCTTCTCTGGGTCTACATTGAGTGCTGGCTGACTCCTGGCTAAAACAGCCCTCCGCCTCCCTCTAGTGGTTGTTTTGAAGTGGTTTTGACCTGCTTACAGTATGGTCTTGATAGTTCCATTAGTTATTTTACTTTCAATATACATTTCAATAACACAGAGGAGGCAGTTCCTCATGCACAAAAAACAGTAAAAAATGAAAACAGCATAAAACAACCAGCACATTTACAACATGAGAACAGTTAGTGCAAACTTGTTCACAAATCAGGAGGCTAAATGTCAGATCTTTGTTGTAACATCAACATGATGAGATAAAAAGTGAAACAAGAGGGATAAGTAGCCAGGTCAGTTAACAAGTAAACTGAGTTGAATTTAAATAATGTTGTTACTCCACTGTCCTGATTGTAGCAGAAATGTCTACAAACCACTGAAGAGTCCCAGGGGGTAGGATAAGTCCTTGCATGTTCTGTAGGTAGGCAAGCGCTGATCCTTTGCAGCCTGATATACAAGCAACAAGAAATTCAAATCAGCAGGCCGTGCCACTTTGCAATTGGCTGGCGAACAGAGGCCATCATTAAGCTCCAGTGCTTGTCTTCCCTACTCCTCTCTTTTTCCACAGTCAACTGTCCAATTAGATGTTTGGGGGATTTCCTTGTCAGGCGAGTCTCATACACAGAAACTAAAATTTTGCATTGCTCAAGAGGAAACTCTGGCAGGGAGAACATGAGGACCTCATTGAAAATGGTCACCAGGCAGTGGGTCATGGCAGAGGTTTTTTGGTACCTTAACTTGCAGTGGTTGCACTGCACACTGATCCTTGCATACAGAGCTGAAAATACAGAAGACAAATAACTCTATATTACACTTGATGCATATAATAGATAGGTGCATAGCTTTTGTAAATGTTTTTCAATATGATGCGTGTATATTTTTTATTCACCTGTATCTGAGCATTTTTCTGGCAGGACTGTTCTGACTTTTAGCAGTCCAACCTCCAGTCTCTGAGAAGTGGGAAGGAACTTTAAAGACAGAAGCACCTCTCCTACAAGATCCTGTCAAGAAATGGAGAAGTGAACATTTCAGGTCAATATTCAATGACATCATAGACTGTAAATAAGAAGTGGGTGTATTCACCATGATGGCAACCAGTTGTTTGTATTTTCTAAGTTTGGCAAAATAAATCCCTTTAATCTTTTTGTTGTTTTTAGACGAGAAGTGACTATATGAGAGGTTGGATAACCAAAGCTTCAGAACCCCTAATCCTTAGTGGTGAAACACAGGACAACAATGTCTAATTTAGTTAGTTTACATTTCCTCATAAAAGTGGCTATAATTTGACATGCTGTTGTGGTACATCACTGCTCTTTTATTTGAGCAGAAAAGCTGCATAGGTGGTCCTGAGGGGGGTGTCTAGCCTACATGTAGAATAATCAAAAACAGGTGATGTATTTATATTCAATTTATATATGTCTGATGCAAATTAATTCACATTTTTGAAGACACTGTTGTGTTGTGTGCTGACATAGGCTTACTATCTTGACCTAAACAGCATAAAACCATATGATCCTGAAAATCGTCACTCAGGTGGGGCTAGAAAATGCAATATTTTGATATTTTTAGTATGCACTTTATTTTGTGTTAAATTGTAGATGCAAGGGGGGGGGTCTCGTGTAGTCCGACCGAGATAAGTCAGCTATTTTCATGTCTTATGTATTGTTTTGTTAGTTTCATTTAGTACGTGTTATTGGGCCTAGTTTTAGTATTCCATGAGCTAATTCTCCGTCTGGGTTCTACGTTGAGTGCTGGCTGACTCCTGGCTAAGACAGTCCTCTGCCTCCCTCTAGTGTTTGTTTTGAAGTCGTTTGACCTGCTTACAGTATGGTCTTGATTGATATGCATAGTTCTATTAGTTCTTTTACTCCAGAGGGAAATGCTAAACATACTAAACTACTACTATGCATTGCTGTTAATAAATCAACCTATAAGCAAGGTTATTTTCACATCAGTTTTCGTAAAGTCAGACTTCTATTGCAATCAGTGGAGCTGTCCCCTTCTGGCCTTTAAAAAAGAATGAGGGTTTAAGGCAGGTTTAAGGCACTTCAGCATCAAGTAGCAGAGAGAACTCCCATGATTCCCTTCTAGCCTCAATGTCATCTTTGGTCATTGTAATATTGATTGAGAGCCCCCTGGTGGTGGAATTTACATATTGTATATTCAATGCCCTGACACACCAAAAGAAAAGAGGAGGCGGAGGCAACAAATAAGGAGAAACTGCACTAATGGGTGAAAGCCTGGATACTACAGCGGCATGCTCAAGGGGCTTTCCAGAAAACTGTGTCAAGAGCTGGAGATGAAACCTCCGAACAGCCAATCAGAGAGATCCCTTTCACCGACCGCAGATGCCGATTCAACATGTCGATTCTGCCAAAAAAAGACACACCGCAAAAACTAGGGCATTGACCGCTCACCTTGGTGTGTCAGGGCCTTAAGGCTCGCTGCAAAAGCCCCGAGAGTTAACTTTAAAATGCTTGATATGCCTATAGTGCATATAGTTCAGCAAAGTTCTAAATTCATTTTGTATCAATAGATCGTGTTTACAGTGGTACACACTGTATGAGGGGTAACTGTTTTTTACAACAAATTTTGATTCGTTTTGATTAAATGAAGTAGCTGTTTGCCAGGAGGCTAAACGCCTGCCTCAGCTCCACCTCTCAGCCTGCTGCTAGATTGACAAAGCTCCTCCAAACTCACTGAAATTACATAACTCTAGCAAAATTTCTCTGTGAAGTCAGGTTGAGAACATGGCAGGTAATATTTATGCAATTTCCCTTCGAGCGAGCAGGAGGGGTTGGTGAAGTTTATATCCTTAGAGCAGCACAAGACTATAGACTGTATGAGCACGACCAATGCACTCTCCATGCACATAAATAAACTGCTTCTTTATGTTTTCCATTCTCCAGTAGTATACCTAACTACACAGGCACAATATGGTAAAAAAATATATGGTTAGCGTCAGACTCTGTTGCTTCGTCCGTAACTTCCTCTTTCACTTTCCATGTTCTTTTTGCATCATGTCTTGCCTCCTGAGACCCCCGTCCCTCTTCTAGGGAGGTAAAGTCTTTCACTGTGAGATGCATTAATGAACAAGCAACTCTGCAAGATTTCAGGGACAGTCTACCCAAAATATTGTAGATGCTTCAAGAGTGCAGTTATGAAAATGGCTTGAGATAGCTTTTCCAATATGGTGACAGCATCATTGGGCTTTAAAAGTCCTCTTCAGAAAAACAATGGATAGATGTTGTCACTGAGACTACATGAATGTTTAATCTGGTCGATGATTAGCAATGGATCCACTTTTGAAACCGACCAGGCTAGTCATCTGCTTCAATGTAGCCTATAGTTTTGTTTCAATATAAGAGAAGGCTGGCATTGTTGCAGGCCACATAAAGAACATCCCTTCACATGGAAAAACTATATCATGAGCAAACAAGCTTTGTGTTTTGTGATCTTTTCAGTTCTACAATGATGTTACCATACTCTTGATTACCATTTTGTAAAATAAAAGAAACTATTACCTGATTATGTGTTAAACTCATTTTGTACCTTCTGGGGTCTCTGTAGATCCTCTTGTAACTCCAGAGGGTAGGAGATGTTGAGCTGCCCTAGAGGAACCCTCACCTCTCCTAACACCGTGTGTCTTGAGAATCTGTCAAAGTCCCTCACCTGAGTTGCAAACAGACACATGACAGAGGGATAGAAGACACACATTTAAAATAAGATTGAGATATTGTTTCATTAACTGACATAAGACCATACAGTTATAAAGACTACTAAAAGTGATTGAGAGTACTGAAGGACCTCTATCCTGAGGTTGATGTTATTCAGCTCCTTTTCTTCTTGTAAAACACAGCTAAACTGGTCTCCAAATAAAGGGTTACAGCTGCCTTTCACAATGCGAGTACGCCACTCCTGCAGCACTGTCCACATCCCAGGTGTCAGCCCTTGGCCCTAGGAGGGTCAATAAAGTAAGTAAGCAGGAAAGGAAAAAAGAAAAAGCTTCACAATTTCTCTTGTTGTATATCCTTATAACCAGCAATTCATATAATCAAAACACTTGCAGAATGACATAATAATGGTTACGAATGAGGAATTTTTACCTCCTCATTCGTACAGCTCTCCAATGCCACTCCATGTGAACCTGCCCACATGAGACTTATCTTAACAAATGGATGGAGGTTGCCCTTCTGACTGTGCTCTATAAGCCCCTCCACCTGCAAGATGGTGACCACCAGACAGGACTGCAGCTGGTCATAAAAGATGGAGAAACGTAGCGTTCCATCAAGTTCCTAGTATAAGAGGGTATTTGAGAAGAAAAAACAAACAAGCACCCATTACTGCCCTTGATATAGCTTGAATATGTCAAATGTACTGTTTACTATCTCAACAAATTAAAAGAAGACTGAACTCCATACAGCGACTGGAGATTTTTGGACAGTTTATCTGTTAGTCTCTTTGTGGAACAAAATCTTTCTTTGTGGGTTATAAAAACAAAAACTGCCCACTAAATCTTCCTTTTGCACCATCATTTGGTTAATATCTCCTCTTTTGAGTAATGTGGCTTCACCACTATACCTGAGCCAGCCCAGGTATATTCTATGTTTGAGAAACACTTCAATGGATAATTCAAGTTTTGTGGGTCAATTTCAGGTCAGAACATCTGGAATTCTTGACAAATACAAAATGATCGTAGTCCTGGTTAATGATCCAGTGTTTGCCTTTATGTATCCGGTTAATAACCCTCTTTAGATCAGCATTGTATGGCCTTTGTTAGCATGTTAGCATGTTAGCATATAGCAAATAGCTAACATCACCAATATGCCTTGGGATAACCTCATAAAGAGCTCTTATCATGGCTTTGGTGCTATTTATCTCGATAAAAAACTATTGAATTTACATTTGAATGAAGTGCATATTTTTGACACTATATGCTATCACTTATAATATGTTATCTGGCTAAGCTAAGCATAAATGCTTAATTAACAGTTTCTCCCACCTTTAGCTTCTCACTAAATTCAGCTAGCTAACCAAAACAAATCCTATGTTGATGTTTAGAAGTCTTAAAATGGCCAAAATTTAAAAAAATAATAGCATCCATTAAACTGGAAAAGTGACACATTGACTAAGTTTTCTTAACCTTTTTGTCAAGTCAGAGATACTTTTCTTACCTCAAACATTTTCTCTGATAGTTTATGTGCCGCTCAGACGCCATCGACTGCAGCGAATGCGCAAATTATAACTGTTGATGGGGTAGACCTGTAATATGCTGCAAATAAATATATTGTATGCTATGTGTGTAGACGTGATTGTGCATGTAATGTCAGTAAGCCAGGTAGCCTATTAGGCTACACGTATTTCCAATGTAGCTTTGTCTTGTTAGTGTTAGATTAAGAGACATTTCATTTGTTCAGTGACAGGAGGTCATTATAACTGATTTACTGATCAAGCAATGTAGAAAAAGACGCAGTGATAAGTTGTCACAACAGCTGGTACAAACACAGGACGGACTTTAGCTGTGCTAAAAGCTTTACACATGAAAAAAACACTGAAGCTGCAGAGCGTGTTCCCACTTCACTTTGTTGTCAGGAGACCTACAACAGACCACCTGTTACCGTAGAAGTGACTGGGCTATACATAACGGTATGCAAGACTGGCTACCTTAGTAAGCTAATGTTTACTCTTATTGGCAGTATTTCTTGTTTTTCATTATTTATTATTTACTCTCAAATTAATTGTGTCCAGTTGCCATTAAAATGCATTCCTCCGTAACACTGTGCATGGTAGTAGCCTATGTGAAAATACTTACATGGCATGCAATATAGTGAGTCAAGCAACAGGTGTCGGTCTTAAAACTTGAGCATGTGTTTATGTGCCTGTAAGTTAAGTTAAATGCTAACGTGTGGTCTTATTTTTGGCAGATGACATTGCCTTAGCTATGGCTGCAGTTCACACTGCATGCCAACCCATATGTTCAATACAGATTTTATTTTTCTGGGGATTCAGATTACGTTGACTGCATCAGACTTCTGTGGGAATATGAACATGGCTCAAATCCGATTTTAATAGAACAGATTCCATGTGACGTGCTGTTCTTAAAACAATTCGGACATACATAGGTGCAGAAAATTTTAATTTAGCTAACTTTTTCCTGCAGTGTGAACTCGGCCTAAGTTGCAAGAGATCCCCAGACTGTTCCTCTGTCACTGTCACCAATGCACATATGCTGAAACTCAGTATGAGCTCCAGGCACTGATTGACCCATGCTATAGGAGAAAGGAGATCTTCTGTTTCAGGGAGAGGTTCACCTAGATCACTTTACCGCAGGGTTCAGTCAGAAAGGAGGACAGTGGTTTGATAAGGATGTTACTGGAGAGCGGAGGATTGTAAATGTCAGCATACATATGAAAAGAGAACAGGAGGCACAGGGTGTTCAAAATAATCTCTCTGACTGAACCCATCCACCTGGCACACAAGATGAATAAAACCCCTCAGAATCTGTGCAGCAGTTGTCAACATGTAGGGTGAGATCATAAGGATGCTTATTGTGGTTTAAAAGTTGAAGTGATCCTAATTTCTAAAGAACCGGTACACTTTGACTTCTCTTTCCTCTGCTGAGTAGACCTTCTCTGATAGCCCGCAGCGTCAGTTTGCACTGTATGATTACTCACGTGTGTATCAAATAAAATGTCTATTTAATAATCAGATTTTTCATTTAGTTGTTCGCTCAATATCTCATTAAGTGGGTGTCATCATAAACTTTACATGTTGTGAAAAAACATTCTAAGGCTAATTTTCTTTGCAAATGAAGGAAAAGAAGAATCAGTAACACTTAACTCAACTTATCAAGTTTGTTTACATGATTAACAATGACAATCATTCACTTTTAAAATGGTTAAAAAAAGAGTGACATGAAAAGTTAAGAACATTTGACCCTCTTTTTAAGACATGGCAATTATTATGGTACTAGTCTGCAATGCGCTTCTCATAAAGAGGCTGTGGTCCCCGAAGCAGGCAACCCAGGTTCAAAACCGACCTTTTGCTCCCTTCCCCCATCATTCCCCACTCTCTCTCACTGATTTTTGACTCTCTCCACTCCCATCTCTACAACTAAGGCATAAAAAGCCCAAAATTAAAAACTGAAAAAAACAATATAGCAATTATTCATGTTAAGGTATGACATCACTGAGTACAACAGCACTTTGAAAGAAAAGATGATCAGATTCTATTCACTACTTTTTACCCTAAAGATATCCTTACACAAGCTGCAATTTGAGATAAAACTAAAACACAGCAGTTTCCCTAAAACATGTGTTGATTTTTTTCTAACATTCTTCATTTATACAATTTGTACATGGTCTGGTCTTAGACATGGATTGTTCCTCAGGTGATAAATCAGCATCTGTCCGTCTGTTCCTGAAGACACTGTTGTGTTGTGTGCTGACATAAGGGTCTCGTGCAGAGGTGATTTTAGAGTCTGTTGGGGCCCGAGGCAAATATTTACAGGGGGCCCCTCCAAACAGCGTACTTCCCCATTATGTTAAATGATCTGACACCAACAAAGGTTTTTAGCATAAGTTACATTATTCAAGTGTCTCTCCCCATATTGAGGGCTAGAAAAGTCTAATTCAAGTCATTTACTATTATATGATTGAGTGATGTCAAGTGGGGCCCCCTTAGGGAGGTTTCCAACTGTCATTGCAAACTTTGCTAATTTTGAGCCACTGCTGTGGTTTAAGTTTATCAGCCATTGTGGGCCACCTAACTGGTCTGGGGCTTTAAGCAGTTGCCTGCCTTGCCTGTTGACAAACAGTGCCTTTGCTCATGTGTTGACCAGTTGAGATAAGTCAGCTATTTTCAAGTCTTATGTTTATGTCCGGTTTTCTAGTTTGACTTAGTACATGTTATTGGGCCAATTTTAGTATTCCATTCTCTGGCTTCTCTGGGTCTACATTGAGTGCTGGCTGACTCCTGGCTAAAACAGCCCTCCGCCTCCCTCTAGTGGTTGTTTTGAAGTGGTTTTGACCTGCTTACAGTATGGTCTTGATAGTTCCATTAGTTATTTTACTTTCAATATACATTTCAATAACACAGAGGAGGCAGTTCCTCATGCACAAAAAACAGTAAAAAATGAAAACAGCATAAAACAACCAGCACATTTACAACATGAGAACAGTTAGTGCAAACTTGTTCACAAATCAGGAGGCTAAATGTCAGATCTTTGTTGTAACATCAACATGATGAGATAAAAAGTGAAACAAGAGGGATAAGTAGCCAGGTCAGTTAACAAGTAAACTGAGTTGAATTTAAATAATGTTGTTACTCCACTGTCCTGATTGTAGCAGAAATGTCTACAAACCACTGAAGAGTCCCAGGGGGTAGGATAAGTCCTTGCATGTTCTGTAGGTAGGCAAGCGCTGATCCTTTGCAGCCTGATATACAAGCAACAAGAAATTCAAATCAGCAGGCCGTGCCACTTTGCAATTGGCTGGCGAACAGAGGCCATCATTAAGCTCCAGTGCTTGTCTTCCCTACTCCTCTCTTTTTCCACAGTCAACTGTCCAATTAGATGTTTGGGGGATTTCCTTGTCAGGCGAGTCTCATACACAGAAACTAAAATTTTGCATTGCTCAAGAGGAAACTCTGGCAGGGAGAACATGAGGACCTCATTGAAAATGGTCACCAGGCAGTGGGTCATGGCAGAGGTTTTTTGGTACCTTAACTTGCAGTGGTTGCACTGCACACTGATCCTTGCATACAGAGCTGAAAATACAGAAGACAAATAACTCTATATTACACTTGATGCATATAATAGATAGGTGCATAGCTTTTGTAAATGTTTTTCAATATGATGCGTGTATATTTTTTATTCACCTGTATCTGAGCATTTTTCTGGCAGGACTGTTCTGACTTTTAGCAGTCCAACCTCCAGTCTCTGAGAAGTGGGAAGGAACTTTAAAGACAGAAGCACCTCTCCTACAAGATCCTGTCAAGAAATGGAGAAGTGAACATTTCAGGTCAATATTCAATGACATCATAGACTGTAAATAAGAAGTGGGTGTATTCACCATGATGGCAACCAGTTGTTTGTATTTTCTAAGTTTGGCAAAATAAATCCCTTTAATCTTTTTGTTGTTTTTAGACGAGAAGTGACTATATGAGAGGTTGGATAACCAAAGCTTCAGAACCCCTAATCCTTAGTGGTGAAACACAGGACAACAATGTCTAATTTAGTTAGTTTACATTTCCTCATAAAAGTGGCTATAATTTGACATGCTGTTGTGGTACATCACTGCTCTTTTATTTGAGCAGAAAAGCTGCATAGGTGGTCCTGAGGGGGGTGTCTAGCCTACATGTAGAATAATCAAAAACAGGTGATGTATTTATATTCAATTTATATATGTCTGATGCAAATTAATTCACATTTTTGAAGACACTGTTGTGTTGTGTGCTGACATAGGCTTACTATCTTGACCTAAACAGCATAAAACCATATGATCCTGAAAATCGTCACTCAGGTGGGGCTAGAAAATGCAATATTTTGATATTTTTAGTATGCACTTTATTTTGTGTTAAATTGTAGATGCAAGGGGGGGGGTCTCGTGTAGTCCGACCGAGATAAGTCAGCTATTTTCATGTCTTATGTATTGTTTTGTTAGTTTCATTTAGTACGTGTTATTGGGCCTAGTTTTAGTATTCCATGAGCTAATTCTCCGTCTGGGTTCTACGTTGAGTGCTGGCTGACTCCTGGCTAAGACAGTCCTCTGCCTCCCTCTAGTGTTTGTTTTGAAGTCGTTTGACCTGCTTACAGTATGGTCTTGATTGATATGCATAGTTCTATTAGTTCTTTTACTCCAGAGGGAAATGCTAAACATACTAAACTACTACTATGCATTGCTGTTAATAAATCAACCTATAAGCAAGGTTATTTTCACATCAGTTTTCGTAAAGTCAGACTTCTATTGCAATCAGTGGAGCTGTCCCCTTCTGGCCTTTAAAAAAGAATGAGGGTTTAAGGCAGGTTTAAGGCACTTCAGCATCAAGTAGCAGAGAGAACTCCCATGATTCCCTTCTAGCCTCAATGTCATCTTTGGTCATTGTAATATTGATTGAGAGCCCCCTGGTGGTGGAATTTACATATTGTATATTCAATGCCCTGACACACCAAAAGAAAAGAGGAGGCGGAGGCAACAAATAAGGAGAAACTGCACTAATGGGTGAAAGCCTGGATACTACAGCGGCATGCTCAAGGGGCTTTCCAGAAAACTGTGTCAAGAGCTGGAGATGAAACCTCCGAACAGCCAATCAGAGAGATCCCTTTCACCGACCGCAGATGCCGATTCAACATGTCGATTCTGCCAAAAAAAGACACACCGCAAAAACTAGGGCATTGACCGCTCACCTTGGTGTGTCAGGGCCTTAAGGCTCGCTGCAAAAGCCCCGAGAGTTAACTTTAAAATGCTTGATATGCCTATAGTGCATATAGTTCAGCAAAGTTCTAAATTCATTTTGTATCAATAGATCGTGTTTACAGTGGTACACACTGTATGAGGGGTAACTGTTTTTTACAACAAATTTTGATTCGTTTTGATTAAATGAAGTAGCTGTTTGCCAGGAGGCTAAACGCCTGCCTCAGCTCCACCTCTCAGCCTGCTGCTAGATTGACAAAGCTCCTCCAAACTCACTGAAATTACATAACTCTAGCAAAATTTCTCTGTGAAGTCAGGTTGAGAACATGGCAGGTAATATTTATGCAATTTCCCTTCGAGCGAGCAGGAGGGGTTGGTGAAGTTTATATCCTTAGAGCAGCACAAGACTATAGACTGTATGAGCACGACCAATGCACTCTCCATGCACATAAATAAACTGTTTTCCATTCTCCAGTAGTATACCTAACTACACAGGCACAATATGGTAAAAAAATATATGGTTAGCGTCAGACTCTGTTGCTTCGTCCGTAACTTCCTCTTTCACTTTCCATGTTCTTTTTGCATCATGTCTTGCCTCCTGAGACCCCCGTCCCTCTTCTAGGGAGGTAAAGTCTTTCACTGTGAGATGCATTAATGAACAAGCAACTCTGCAAGATTTCAGGGACAGTCTACCCAAAATATTGTAGATGCTTCAAGAGTGCAGTTATGAAAATGGCTTGAGATAGCTTTTCCAATATGGTGACAGCATCATTGGGCTTTAAAAGTCCTCTTCAGAAAAACAATGGATAGATGTTGTCACTGAGACTACATGAATGTTTAATCTGGTCGATGATTAGCAATGGATCCACTTTTGAAACCGACCAGGCTAGTCATCTGCTTCAATGTAGCCTATAGTTTTGTTTCAATATAAGAGAAGGCTGGCATTGTTGCAGGCCACATAAAGAACATCCCTTCACATGGAAAAACTATATCATGAGCAAACAAGCTTTGTGTTTTGTGATCTTTTCAGTTCTACAATGATGTTACCATACTCTTGATTACCATTTTGTAAAATAAAAGAAACTATTACCTGATTATGTGTTAAACTCATTTTGTACCTTCTGGGGTCTCTGTAGATCCTCTTGTAACTCCAGAGGGTAGGAGATGTTGAGCTGCCCTAGAGGAACCCTCACCTCTCCTAACACCGTGTGTCTTGAGAATCTGTCAAAGTCCCTCACCTGAGTTGCAAACAGACACATGACAGAGGGATAGAAGACACACATTTAAAATAAGATTGAGATATTGTTTCATTAACTGACATAAGACCATACAGTTATAAAGACTACTAAAAGTGATTGAGAGTACTGAAGGACCTCTATCCTGAGGTTGATGTTATTCAGCTCCTTTTCTTCTTGTAAAACACAGCTAAACTGGTCTCCAAATAAAGGGTTACAGCTGCCTTTCACAATGCGAGTACGCCACTCCTGCAGCACTGTCCACATCCCAGGTGTCAGCCCTTGGCCCTAGGAGGGTCAATAAAGTAAGTAAGCAGGAAAGGAAAAAAGAAAAAGCTTCACAATTTCTCTTGTTGTATATCCTTATAACCAGCAATTCATATAATCAAAACACTTGCAGAATGACATAATAATGGTTACGAATGAGGAATTTTTACCTCCTCATTCGTACAGCTCTCCAATGCCACTCCATGTGAACCTGCCCACATGAGACTTATCTTAACAAATGGATGGAGGTTGCCCTTCTGACTGTGCTCTATAAGCCCCTCCACCTGCAAGATGGTGACCACCAGACAGGACTGCAGCTGGTCATAAAAGATGGAGAAACGTAGCGTTCCATCAAGTTCCTAGTATAAGAGGGTATTTGAGAAGAAAAAACAAACAAGCACCCATTACTGCCCTTGATATAGCTTGAATATGTCAAATGTACTGTTTACTATCTCAACAAATTAAAAGAAGACTGAACTCCATACAGCGACTGGAGATTTTTGGACAGTTTATCTGTTAGTCTCTTTGTGGAACAAAATCTTTCTTTGTGGGTTATAAAAACAAAAACTGCCCACTAAATCTTCCTTTTGCACCATCATTTGGTTAATATCTCCTCTTTTGAGTAATGTGGCTTCACCACTATACCTGAGCCAGCCCAGGTATATTCTATGTTTGAGAAACACTTCAATGGATAATTCAAGTTTTGTGGGTCAATTTCAGGTCAGAACATCTGGAATTCTTGACAAATACAAAATGATCGTAGTCCTGGTTAATGATCCAGTGTTTGCCTTTATGTATCCGGTTAATAACCCTCTTTAGATCAGCATTGTATGGCCTTTGTTAGCATGTTAGCATGTTAGCATATAGCAAATAGCTAACATCACCAATATGCCTTGGGATAACCTCATAAAGAGCTCTTATCATGGCTTTGGTGCTATTTATCTCGATAAAAAACATCATGCCAGGTAACTGATACAAATTTGTTTCCTGTGGTGTAAAGGAAAACAGTCTGCAGGAAGAGTACAATATAAGAGGCAAAAAGAGACAAATCCTGGAACATGTCAGCTATAATCCGCAGATTTGGTAACATTTTACTCTATACACAGCAATCTGTGTTCAAGTGCAGTTACAATCCACTCTTTGATCTTGTATCTCACCTCCAACTCCGTTCTAGCTGCTCAAATGTCTAGTCGGAGTGTAGACGAGTAGTGCATGTAAAAGTGATCTTGGCCAATACAGTTGTAAATAACTGGCTACATCAGAAGCCTTGAAACATTGATTGTTCCGAGATATTTATGGGTTTTTTTTCTGTATTTTTTGGGAGGGGGGTCGCATTTTATTAAATAGGACAGCAAAAGAAAGACAAGACAAAGGAAATGTTGGGAGTACTGAGTAGGGGAATTACATGCAGCAAAGGACCGAGGTTGGATTAAAACGCTGAGAAGTATAGCCTATGTACAGTAGTCTACATGGGATGCACAACATAATCGATTGGCTATCCGGCACCCTGGGATAACAGTTTATAGTCAGTATACAGTTTATTTCCAAAAACCAACATCTACCTACTACACCAAGATAAAGAAATAAGTCTCACATACTGGTATGGGTACAGTTGTAAAAGAACCTACAGGATGCACATCAGTGTCTCTTACCTTTCTAATGTTAACTTGCTCTCCCACGTCTTCCTCTCTCTGGATGGATTCCGAGGGGGATAATGAAGTCTGAGACAGACAGCGACACAGCCTATAGACCTCTTTGTTTGCATCCTCCACCTGGAGAACATGAACAACATGATCAACAACAGCATTTTGATCAGTGGTTTCTTTATTAAAAGCTGCAGCACCTACAGCTTTTGTTTGACTTTTAAAAAACAACACTCAATTGTGTTGGGCTTTTATATAGTCAAATTTGGCTATAGTATTAATAATTATCCTTAATTAATTCATATAAATTAACAATATTATTAAACTAAGTGTAATTGATTAGGGGCACCACTCTGAGATCAGAGAACAAATAACCAAATATCCACAAAATCAGTCTTGAATTAGTTAATTAATTACTAATATTATGAATAATTAATAACCTGTATTTAATAAATTGAAGACGTGAAATCCGTACACAAAGCCTTCGCACCCAGGTTACATCACAATACAAACACACCAGTAATCACAAACAACTGCTCTTTAAAATATAACAGAATGTATTTCACAAAGTCACATCAAGTCAATCAATGAAACTCAATCAAACAAATAACTATTACAAGCTTATCTAAAGCAACCAAACATTATCAAGCAAAACTTGTGACTGAGGTGTAAGAATGTAATTGTGTGTGTGGCTGAGTGCATATGTATGTGTGTGTGTGTGTGTGTGTGTGTGTGTGTGTGTGTGTGTGTGTGTGTGTGTGTGTGTGTGTGTGTGTGTGTGTGTGTGAGAGAGAGAGAGAGAGAGAGAGAGAGAAGACAAGCTGGAGGAGAGACAATGCACCATGTGATAACGTCACATGGGGACAATATGGTGGGCAACAAAGGAAGCCGTGTGGCTGCCTTTTGAAATAGCTTGAGCTCTCTGAGGTAAATTCAGTAATTGTAACTTAACTACCAAAAAGCCAGTGGCCGGACTTTGAGTCAAGGGCGTGAACACTGGTCTTCCTGATTGTGGAAGCCATTGACTGAAAGTAAACTCGCATAGCATTGAATGAAAACACACAGAGGTGAACATGGCGGTTCAGCACAACAGAAAAGTGCAGCAGCTTACAACAGATAATAAGCTAAATGTGACGTCCCGTCAACAATAATGCACAATTATAAGTGGTTGTAAAAGAAACAACTATTTCTGCCCCGACCAAAGCTCTTACTTGGGGTTACTCCTGGTGATCGTTGCAAAGTCGGTTTGATCTTCACTCTGTTGAAGGTTAAAATCTACAGATTCAGGCAGGTTTCCTTCGTGGCAGATGTAGGAGAAAGGCAGCAGGATTCAGATCTTCGACCATTGCACTGCTCTATTGTCTTTCTGATTGCAGGAGCAGAGTTCTTTGTGTATCCTTGTGTATTCAGGGATCAGTGGGCTTTCTGCAGCGCTCCTGTCCAGTTGCATTCAATGATGTCTATGAAAAATCAAAGGAAAGAAAATCTTCTTTTTGCTCGAACCAGATAGTTTCTGATTGCCTCCAAAACTCTTAAAAATATGCCATGGAAGTAGTCAGCTGAATCCTGCTTTTATGGACTGGGACTGCCTGTGGGTTTACCTTGGGCCTCCTCCAATGAGGATAGAGAATTCAGGCTCCCCTTCTTATTCACACCTATGTGTGAGGTGCTATTGGGGGTGCTGGGAGTAAGACTCCGCTTCCGGTGCTAGGTCACTATCGTGTCTCCCAAGCCACCTGTGCGAAATTTCTTGATCTATGGCATACTAAGCTGATGTGTTTGGCAATGCATGGTGACATTGTACCGTACACAGCCATACAGATTGTGCAGGAAGATGGACTTGAAAGTCATAATCTCTGGGGGCCTGATGCTTCTGGTGCAAAGCACTAAGAAGGGCAGATGCAGGGTCAGTGTAGGTGGAGAATTCCTGGCACAAAGCGTTGCAAAGTGCTGAGTACTGGTCCCTGACTTCAGGCTGGAGGTTATTCATGAAGACATGATCTCTCCCGGAAGTTGTCTTCCAGATCAGCCTGAGTTTTTCTCTTGTGGATGCATCAGGTAGATCACAGAGGCACAGGTTGATCCCTCTGAGGTCATCATCAATGCTGAAATTTGGGTTACCTGGGTCAAATCGATCTACATCCGTCACCAGGTATTCAATGAGACTTATGCACATTCTTTGATCGCTTGGTGGACAGGAGCAATACAATTAATCTGATGTTTCGGAACTTCTCAGCTGTGGACCATGCTGTGTGGACTTACCGGTAGCAGGACGGGGCCTGGTGGTATCTCTTCCACTGGAGGCTGAGAAGTCACTCCCTTCCCATGTGGTGGTTCAAACTTGTGAAGGTGTGAAAAGGTGTCACAGCTGTCAAGGGACTGGGGAGTTTTCCAGTCGAAGTCTTTGTTTTCAGGAATAGCAGGGAAAACAAGACTTATTTTCTCAGTCCTTGGGTTATCCTGGCTGCTCGGTTCTTTACTGAGCTTTATCAGCAGGATGAAGTGCTGACGAATACATTTATTTTCTGCCCGTAGGGATTGGATGCAGTTCTTCAGGGATTGGATGTGTTTCTGCAGGCTTTGGTTATTTTCATGCAGAGCTTCTTTTTCTACTTGCAGCTGGGTTTGCTGCAGGAAGGACTTGCGTTGGGAGAGAAGGATAAGTTTCTCAGCTCCCAGCTCACCTAGGGTCTTGGTACACATTTTACATGGTAAAACGGAACCCCAGTGGATTACTGTTGACAAAGCTACTAAGTTAAACAAAGCTAGATCAACACAAGACCAACTCTGATCTAAGTTTCACACCTCCAGTCCTCTAAGGATTGGGGAACTCAAGCCTCTCAGACAGCTGGCTATGCAACAGTTATGATGACAAATGGCTAACTTGTTGTCTCAAACAACAAAGAGCAAACAAAAAAAAAAAACTCACCAAAACAAACAACTTGATGTCTGCCTTGCTTGAAATGAGAAGTAAATTTTCACAAGAAATACATTCCTTTCGTAAATTACTTCAGGATTAAGCAACAAAGCTAGTTCATTGAGAAAGTCACACTGGCTCCATCATTATGTCAAATTGTTGTATGGACACAGAGGACCAACAGTTATTACTTTAACCATTAACCAACAACATATGACACAACTAAGCCACAGCTTGATGTCTGCTTTGTATAAACAGCAAGCAAGAAAAGTAAATCTTCAAAAGAAAAGAGAATTTTCCTGAAGAAAAATCTCTTTAGATTAAAATTTTGGATTACTGTGCATTAACGCAGCAATATAGCCTCACACGGGGCACCATTATGTTGAGGGTTTATACACACAAAGAGACAAGGGTATCACTTTTGTACCTACAGGTACATTTTTCAGAAAAGTACCGTGTAAGGTACAGAAATGGTCCTTAAAGTGCGTACTTCTATCAAGCTTAAGGTACAGATAAACCCAAAGGTTTCACTCTCATACCATTACTTCAAAAGACCAGCAGGGGCACTGTTCCAGCCTTGGTTCCCCGTATGGTTTCCTGGGCTTTACTCAACAGTAACATTTGATGTAGCTTACATTTTGTAGCCTACACTACAAGCAGTGATTAGTTTTCCTGCTTTGTCAAGCTTGTTTACAAATACCTCGTTCAAACAATAATTGAAGCTGGACTAAAAATGAATGAAGAAGCAAGAAACTTCAGGGGTAAGAAACTAGACCTAAAAATGTTACTGTTAACATATAATAGCTTGATGTCTTTGACAAGGCTAACTCAAGGCTATTTTAAATGAATTAACTTGAACTAAATACATCAAGCACATTATGGCTTGTTGCTAGAATGGCTATTTTAGACTGATGGTTGGTCTTTTAGTCAAATAACTTTTTTGACATGGTACTTTATATTACAAAAAAAAATTATAACTGATCCGCGATGGGACTTTTTAAACATGCGAATGCGCAATACTCTTCCTCCCACAGAGCCATTATTTTTTATAAACATACAAGTCAAGCAACGGTTAGCAGAAAAGAATATGTCCACAGTTTTCACCGTTAGTCTCTATTTTATGTGGGTTTTTTTTTTTGTGTTTCTCTAACTGCCCTCTGTCTTTTCGAGGTTTTCTCCTGACTGCTTTTTTTATGCGGACTCGCAAGGGGCGACCCTTTTTTTCTTCCTCCACAGCACAGCCCAACTCTGCTGTGAAACGTCCTCGTGGTAAGTAGTGTTTTAGTCATTGCTAAGTCGCTTTTAAAACATTATTATCTCAATTAAAGCCGTTCAAGCATTTATATTACTTTAGCGGTTAATTCGTTACTGTTTTATGCTTTGTAGTCTGATGAGTTATGGACAGAGTCTGCCCTCTCCGTTTCTATGGTTACCGCCATTTCTGTAAGTTTAAAATTTCATTATGGCTCCGTAGTCTTTATGTTTAGAAATGTTATGTAACGCTGATTTTCGATGAAAGGTCCATGACTTGTTGAAATGTGAGTGGACAAATGCGGTGTGTTTTGGCATCGCTTGGGGATTAAAGTATCATGGCAGACACTGATCATGGTTTAGCTATCTAGCTAGAGTTACAGGTAAGGTACTCGGCAATTTCCAACGGCTGTCGTCTTTGCCCCCTCAATTTTGGCCACAAGCAAGTATGTGTGATGCATTTATTGACCTATATTTGAATTGTAATTTTGCTTTGCTCACCTTTGTGTGTCTTTTTTGTATCTCAGAAAATGAGGTGGACTGAAAAACAGGACATTCTGAAGCCATGGTCGAAAACCTTTTTGAGATTCTTCTAAAAGCCAATGAATTACAGTTTACCAATACATGGAGGATGAGACCATGGGAGCTTCAATTTCAGCCTGTCATTGATCCAAGGCAAGTGCATAAGTTTGAGGCATTAAAAGTGCTAAACATCAGCTTTCCAAGTTTATTGTGTGCATATAAGTTTATATTGTGGCTGCCCACTGTTTAAAGGGATACTTCATCGGTTAAAACATGAATCTGTATTGAAATTGGGTCATTTATGTAGTAGAAATGTGAAATACATTTTGAAGTTGGTGCCTTCTTGACCTAGAAAAGGCAGAAAGTGGCTTTTTGGCTCAAGTGGAAATCCATTTCACAGACAAATTCTAGTGACGAGTTAGGCCCCGTGTCCACCTAT